TTTTCACTCCCATTTGATCTAAATTACTTAATTGAACACATCACCTGTTTAATTGATCGGAGTTTAATTGTTCCAGGCCTTTAGAAATTGATGACTTAAAGGCTACCCATAAAACCTGCTGGACTGGGGCTCACCAGGATCAGCATCACTGATCCTGCAGACTGCTGGGCAAATCAGTAATCATTTTCCCTGATCAGAGATAGAGCGTACGCTGGATCTGAGGTTGTAAGGCAGATTGCTTTAGAAGACACGCGTTTCCAAGAAATATATATTTAAGTTTAACTCTTTAATTGACAATGCTAAAAAGGATCAGCTTTCTTACATTACTGAGTACCTTTCTTAACTCTACAAGGATTATATTAGCTGTGGAGCGGGTCGTGCTTTTTAGGAAGAAAAAGACCCTTCTTTCTTCCGAGTTAGAAAGTGTACGAAAAGCAAATTCTTAACTTTGGCGTCAGGTTGTGTATACAATGCGAACAATGATTGTGGTTTGTAATTTTAGAACTTCCACAGCAAATGACAGGTTTCAAAAGTAATACTCTGATTGTCAAAAGCTGATAAAGGTTTACTAAGACTGAAAACATTTCTAGATTATAATTTGCATATAATTATACTTTGTTTAAGATCATCTTTATTTAGGGACATGTACCTTTCCTTTTTATACTGTTAAAAACGGAATAAAAGCATAGCAACATGGAGATAAATAGTGTGGTAACACATAAGGAGCTCTGTTAAAACACAGCACAATAAGAAACTGCAGCGTGGAAAATGCAGTTACAACTTTGGAGGAAAGGGTAGTATATAGAGCAAACCATGGTAAATGTTCCTATAGGATGTTACAGCTGTCTGTGGAGAGTTTGTGAAAAAACAGTAACATTTCTGTGATGAATGAGTGTTCCATTAGCTTCCAGCGGAGACATCGTCTTCAAATACTTTAACAAACAACGATACATTTGGAAATGTACAGTATTTGGAAAACGTGGATCCATATACTTCTGAATTCTGTTCTTATGGACAGCACCACAACACATTCTAGTCTTTGAGTTAAAGGTCTCTCAGGGTTTTCATTCCAGCTCTGATCTTCATTACTAGCAGGTGATTTGACTTCTCTTTCAAACCTAACTGCTACTAACTGCACGCTAACTGAAAGGTTCTTGTAAGCCAAACTCCAGCCTTGACAGTTGCTCAATCTGCAATACACAGTATCTCTTGCTTTTCTGGGAGCACAGTTCCTACATTACACCTGTAGGTGGCAATGTACCTGAATGGCTGTGGGAACTAACCCACAGAGCAAAGTCCACTTGGATCAGCTATTTGTTTACACAGTCAAGGCAGGTCATTGCAATCAATCGTGGCAGCTCACAATTTCTTAAATTTGTACAGAAAAAGCAGTATAAAAGATCTAGCTATTTGGAAATGGAGAGAATTCTCAACATCTATCTTAAAATCCTGTGGCTCTTTATTCAAGGAAAGTACTGTGCTTTCCAGGTCTAGCACAGGATGTGTAGTTAACAAAGAACCGTTGTGCACAACAGCACATTAATCTGCCAAAAATTAAAAACCACATTTACTCTGAGACAACTCGCACATAACATACCAAGAGACAAAAAATAAAATCACTTGATGTGAACATGTCAGACAAGCATGTCTGCCTATGTATATATCCCCACGAATGCAAGGCCAGTTAGGCACTTTGAGATAGCAGAGAAATAAGTAAAATTCAAGCGCAGTATACTGTGATGAAAGACTTTCAAAATGTAAATGACTGAAGATTAGGGACATATCTGAGGAAACTAATCAACAGCATAAAGCTGACAGGGCTCTTAAGGAGATATAGTTTTTTATATAAATATTAAACACACTCACTTCTTCTTAGTAACTGGGTGGACAGGCAATACATTCATTTCATTCATTATGAATTGTGTCTACTGACATCATTTGCATTTGTTAAAAAATGTTTTCATACTTTGGCAAGTGTTTTCATTAAGAATATTTACAAATTTAAGTTGAGCATAATTTTGCATCCCTAAAATGTAATCAATCCAATTGACTCTTGCTCTGCACATGATATTTATTATAGGAGTCTGTATGCTTATTTGCAGCTGGGGATGCAGTGCTATGAATTATTCAATACTTCTATTTTGTTTGTGTCTTGCATTCATCAGATCATGAGGAAATGCTTATGTGAATGTTTTAATTGCATTGAAACTAAGTAATACACCCTTGCAAGTAAAATTGAAATGTAGCAAGAGAAAAAAGTGATTAAATAGCATGTGCCTAAACATACAGGTCACTTCTTGATGGGGACTTTTTCATCCTTTTATTTGTTAATTTAATATTTTTTGCAAGACAATGCAATTAACAAGAGCATACGAAAACTAGAAAGCACCATAAGAAGATTGTCTGTAGAAGCAGTTCTTCAGTGTTTTTTTTTTTCAGGATATGACAGATAATATATACTGTTTGATGACCTCAGTTCTTCCATTAAAAATATATTTTTGGCACTCAGTGTGTCCAGAAAAGTTCTATTCATCTATACGACACAAAAATAGCCATTTTCTGCCAATTCTGACACATTAACAATCTAATTACTGACACCAGGATGAAAAGGAATGCTTTTGCTCAACGCTAAAAACAACCCAGTATTTTAAGTATTTATTCCCAACATATTTGGCCAGTTTCTGTGGGATGCTAAGCTTTACTTTAGCTATTTTACACTTAGTAGCTGTTGACAGGTTCTCCATAGTTACCCACAACTCCTCTTCCACTTTCTGCCAAATGACATACGGTATTTTAATAGCCTGTAGAATGCCAAGAATAAACTAATATTTCTAATTTTATATGAGGTTATGGGGCTTTAAATTGCCCATCTGTTTTTGCTGAATTTACTGCATGATATCTTTGGATAACATGCTATTTCTGACTCTTTTCTGAACACTAAAACACAAAAGCACCCTTGGGAATGTTTTTTTTTCCCACCAGGTAACAGAAAATAGCAGGACTCAAAAGGTGACTTCAAACCCAGTGCATTTTTTCCCCCCAATGGAGATATTTAAGTTTTTCCTCCAAAACATCCTGTAAGAACCTCCAGTGTGTGTTGTTCTGCTGTCTCGTAGCTGTATTTTTATCATAATGACACGTCTGCCTTGTGGAACTACACTTCTGACAAAGACAGCTCTGGGGTGGCTCCATGATACTGTACATCTCAGCTTCTTAGCCTCTGCATCTAGGCAGCTTCACTGTAAGCAACAATACCCTGCTGTTTTGAGAGCTTCTTATCTCTTCCTTTTCAACTATCCTTGGACAAAATGTGAGAAACACTTATTTTTAAACACAGCATGGAGTTTTCCCCTCCTTTAATTTCCTAATGGAAATTAAAACGATTATGAAGCGGGAGTGCTCTGATCCTTTTACTCTGTTATCTTTTAAAGTACAGTCTTTATCCGGGCAAAGCTGTAATGTAGTCTAGAATTATGCCACGTATTGTTTGTTTTTTTTATTCAGCAAATGGCAAATATGGAGCTTAGGAAACCATTTTATAGAAATCAATTGCGGGTTTAACTGGCAAAAAAATAACCAGAAGTTTCTTTTTCCAACTGAATAGTTTATTATCTTTATCTTTTAAGCGCTTTGCCCGTGGCAGAGGCACAAAGGACCCCGCTGTATTTCATCAGCCTGAGACGCTTCAGGACCGTCAGGCTACTGGGGGCTTCCCTTGCCCAGTTCCCTTTGGTACTTAGCATATAAAGAGGTGTTGCAGGAATGTGGGCAGATGGGGTGACAGCACCCCATTTCCAACTCTGTCTTACCTCGGATCTCATCCCTCAGTTCCAAAGCCCTGG